GGTCATTGTTTATCCCCTTAACCTTGTTAGATAACTAGAGGTCCATCATAATCTCTAACATCTTTTTAATCTCTACTAAAAAACCCTAGGATTTTTTAAAATGTACCACAAAACTCATCAAGATAGTCTTCGATTCTTTCTAAAGAACATAGCCTTTTTTATAGCAACATCCCTATCACGGGTCATGGCGACCACACTAACCTTTAATTCTTCCTCTATAGAAAAAGTTTACTTATAGTCTAATTTAAATTTTGTACCAATGATAACTCCTAGCCAATAGTTGTCCTCTATTCGGTGGAAGTTTTAGTCAAAAAGTCACTCAGACTCTTTTACCTTTCCCTTTATCTTCATATAAAGGCATAACACCTTCTTATCCTTCTCTTAAATAATGTCTTTGTAATGCTGCACCAAGTTAGCAATAGTTAAAAACTCTTATTCTCGGGGGCCTTCTATTGACGGAGTTTATAGGTTTATACTATAAGAGTCTATAATTATCATCATATTATGGTCAAATATATAAAATTTAATGACAAGAATAAAAGAAAAGAAAATACTCTTAGCTAATGATAATTTCATTTCTTCTCATATTATTTGCTAATGAGTGTTCATATAGGTTTGGTATATCTCTAAGGAGCAATAAAGCATGTTCGAAAAGATGTACAACCTCTTTTTCTTTCTTACTCTATAATAGAGCAATTTTAAAAAAAATGTTTTCTAAATAAAGTCCCTCCGATGAAGGAACATGAATGTCCGAGCTTATAACCGGAGAATGGCAAACAACACCGATTGGCCTTTAAGGAACAAAAAGACTAACCATAGTCTCTTTACTCGAAAAGCTTTGAAAATAAAACACCCATTTCAAAAGAAGAAAGATCATCCATGAAGGGTTGATAGATAGCCATTAGAGTGACCACTCTAAAAAAATGAGCGAGGGCCATAGGAGTAAAGATGAGAAAAGATATCAAACCTCGTGTTGAGAAATCGATTAAAATAAGAGAAAGAGAGACAATCCTCTTTCTTTTGTTCATTCATCCAAACTCATCCTTCTTACTATGTTTGGCACTATATGAGGATGTGGAGATCCAACACCACCGGAGTTTTCCTTAAGAACCATCCCTCTACTTTATTGCAATGGCTCCATCAAAGGTCCGGGTCTTGCTTCAGAAGGTTCCCTAACTATAGGAGAATAATGCAAGTAAAAAAACATAACAAGGTTAGTAGGTAGAATAAATAAATAAATTACAATAATTACCCTACACACTCTCGGCTAACGACAATCCTCGAGTGAGAAGATCAACTAAAAAAAAACCTCATGCTCCACATTTAACTCCGAAAAGCCAAGTCGGCACTAGACCGAAGGGGAAATTCGTTGCTACCAACCTTAAAATTTCTTTAAAAAGGGTTACACCTCTATCTCGACTTGCCATTCCGAGGTGTTGCCCCTATAAACCACTCCTCTCTCCAATCGCTAAGAAGAGTAGTACCTTTAATCTCCCTAGGTATAAAATTATATACTCGGAATATTTTATTACCTTTTTAATCCTTTTTAAGGAAAAAGAATACAAAAGGAGCTCTAAAGATAAGATTACCCCGAGTTACAAACAAAAAATACCAAAAAGCAACAAATATGGCCCACCTATAAAAAAGAAGCTGGCAAAAATTATGCCAAAATATTAAAAGAATTCTTCAATAAACCTAGATACGGGAAGCCTAAAATTGTATTTAATCATACTCGGTGGGAGTAGTGATGTCAATGTTTTCTTAAAAGACCTAAAAGTCAACTTCCTATTCTATCATTAGGATTGAAAGTAATTGTTTGATAATTCCTTCCTAGATAATAAAAAAAGGTTGCAATCCATTCCCTAGAAACTTTATCGAGAACCCCATCAATAGGAAGATGTGAGGGGGTCTAAGCACACCTTAGGAAGAAGGAACCACGTTCATACTAGACCTCACTCTCTTCTTGTCAAGGTTCGACCCTTCATCACTAAAGACAACACCATACACTTTTTTAATCCTTCTCAAGTCCTTCATTGTTTTAAAAAAGAAAGAAAAAAAAAGTTAATATCCGACAAAGTTTTGTGGAAAAAAATAGAAGATGATGGTTCTATAAAAGCTCAAAATACACTTTAAAAAACCATAAATTATCAAAGAATGATTAATTAAGAGTAACGCTAAATAATCTCCAACTCACTAGCAATCTCCACTAACCTTTAAAAGTTTTATAGATGTAGAAGCAAAAATAGTAGAAACTAAAGTGACGTGAATGCTAACAACTATTTATACGTGAAAAAAAGAGAGCATAAATACCCTTTGTGATAGATGATCGAAGCCTAAGCCTAGTGGGCATATCATACCTAATGTGAACCAATTATGTTTCACTATTAGTCCTAATTGGAACAAAGAAGACTCCACAAGACTTCATCTCTTCGATTTTCATAAAAATTTTCCACGCACGAATGATCGGTCTTCCCACTCGTTTATACGAGGCGTCAAGATCGTAATCATTAAATGAATCCTACAATATACCCACCAAGGTCAAATCTAAAAAGTACAAGAAAAAAGCTACTAACCAAAGCTAGCATATTTAAGAGTCCAGACACATTTTAGGTCTTTACCAAAAGACACTTGCTCAAGACTCGAAGGGGTTACCGATATATCCATATAAATCACCGTACAACACGTGCCCTCCCCATCTATAAAAGAGATGTTAGGCCCTTAACATGATCGCAACCATGGTTGCCTTTTCAATAATAAAGGACTCTATGACGAGACAAATCTCGTACTTAAATCACGATTTGATATCTTGAATGGAATTCTCTTTTCTTTTTCACAGAGTTAGACGCAAACAACAAACATTTAACGAAGATATAGTTTTAATAAAGGTTCATCCCATCATCACCAAACATGATTGTATATGCGTTGATACTTACATACATTCACCTAAAAAGATCTTCAATTGGCATATAGATGTCATGATTCACTATACATAAAAAAAAAGACCTCATTGCCCTCTCCTCGATACAAATTGATCATCCCCCAATTATATAAAGATTAACACCCTATGTATTACAAGTTCTATATATTAAGTTTTATAATTAATATAAATATCGCATATCCACATTAATAAGAGTAAAAGAAAAAAGAAAGTTAAGCCTACTCTAGTCAAATATAATTAAACCTATTCATGCAAAACATCTCTCTTTGTATGCTAATTTATCCATTAAAAGATCCTTTAAACACTAGAAGATGACTTGTTTTACGAGTATTCACCACTTATATCTCGTACGATATATCATTTTAAACTACACGATCGGTATGAATTAGAAGCCTTCAAACCATCGATATTCACCCTAGGATCATCACCCGATCAATATCAAATGAGTGTTTAAGATGTGAGGGGTAGGGAATAATATGAATAAAAGGGTCTAACCATTCATGAATTTTAAGTCATTTAAGGCTAAATCTATGAACTTCTTCTTCTTCTTCTTTTTTTATTAGTTTTGGAGATGCTTGAACTTTTAATTTTTTTTTTTTTTTATAGATTATGTCCATTCTCCAATTTTCTTATCATTCATTTTTTTTAAAAATAACAATAAGATAAATTGTTTCATAAAGAAAATATTTAATGAGATTTATGCAAGGCTCCTCAAAAATTTTAAAATCATTTTGAAGTTATTTTTTATTTTTTATATTTTTAATGTTAAAAAAATAAACAAATTTAATTTTTAATTTTGAAAAATTCTGAGATTTTTCTACAAAATTGATTGAATTTTTTCAACTTTCGTAAAATTTTAGCTCAAAATTCTAAAAATTGATTTTTTTAGAGGAGAAAATGACAATTGAAAATTATTAGATTAAATCTCAAAAAAATTTAAAGTTTAAGAATTCCAAAATGAAAACAAAAAAAAGTTCATGGGGCTCAACCTTAAATAACAAAAGTTAGACTGTTTTAGCTGAATAATACTGCATACTCCAAAATGAATCGTGGAAGAATTGTTATTATTTAATTTCTAACGTACAAAGGCAACCTCCTTAAACCTGTAGAACTTGTTGATCCCATCGAAGATTACGGACATTGCATGGGGACCCTTACGTTGTAATCGGGATTAAAAATAAAACGTGCTTTAGATAAGATTTATTAATACTAATTGTGTTTAAGGATATGTTTTATTTCTCATGTCAATCACCCAATGTACTGATATATATTTCTTTTTGGTTGTAGAGGGAGGGAGGATCTAGGCTCTGTTAACTTTTTCATTACAAAAACTAAATCCATATTAATCCTATAATTAAAAAGGTTAGGTAATTAACATCCGAGCGAAAAGAACTGAAAAGAAGAACACTGCAACAACAGCAAAAGAAATATCTTCTATTCTTGTCCACCAATCAACTGGTCCTCTTTTTGAATGCCGACTTCAACGTCTCTCTCTCTTCGCTCGCATGCCCACAAATAAAAAATTCCACACGGATACGCATCTCCCCACAAGACCATACTACAATATACAAAATAAGAAAGAAAAAAGAAAAGAAAAGAAAAGCAATGAATCTTTTTCATTAATTTGCTTTTCGGTTTTAATGGTGTTCGTATCTTCAGATTGGCTGGAGGTGCAGACATAGGGACTAAATTTCTCCTCTAGTCAAGGCTTAAACAGGGCACTGTACTGAATTTTCTATGTTTAGTTTTTTTGGATACGAGCAGACTCAAACCAATTTATAAGGTTTTCTTCCACTCAAATTCAGTTCTCTTCTCTCTAACCGGCAAAACTCTCTTCTACTACAAATCCACAAAACATACTAAGATCAAATAAAACCAAGCCAACTCTCTTCTCCTAAAATTCTCCCCATTTCACTGTAACCCCCACACAAGATCTTAATAACCCATGAAAGATTTTCTCTCTTGTCTCTGTTTTTCTGGTTTTTATTTTTGTTTTGTCACACGCCACCACTAAGTATATTTGGGTAAACCAAAGCAACCAAAAATAGTTGAAGAAAAAGTAATGGCATCACAGTCACAAAGGCAAAGCAATCAGCAGCTCCATAATCAAGCTCAGTCTTCAGGTACTAGTAACATGAGGCAACGCTATCACAACACAGAATCAGTAAGCAAAGCAATTGCACAATACACAGTTGATGCACAACTTCATGCAGTTTTTGAACAATCTGGTGGGTCTGGTAAGTCATTTGATTACTCGCAGTCAATTAGAACTACTAATCAGTCAGTACCTGAAGAACAAATCACTGCTTATTTGTCAAAAATTCAAAGGGGTGGTCATATTCAGCCATTTGGATGTATGATTGCTGTAGACGAAGGGTCCTTTAGGGTCATTGCGTACAGCGAAAACGCCAAAGAAATGCTTGGTTTAACTCCTCAATCTGTCCCTTCTTTAGAGAAACAAGAAATTCTCTCTGTTGGGACCGATGTGAGGACTCTTTTTAGGCCTTCCAGCGCCGTTATGCTTGAAAAAGCATTTGGTGCGAGGGAAATAACATTGTTGAATCCAATTTGGATTCATTCCAAGATCTCTGGAAAGCCCTTTTATGCGATTTTGCATAGGATTGATGTTGGTATTGTTATTGATTTAGAGCCTGCTAGGACTGAAGACCCTGCTTTATCTATAGCAGGGGCTGTTCAGTCTCAGAAGTTAGCAGTTCGTGCGATTTCACAATTACAATCACTTCCTGGTGGGGATATTAAGTTATTGTGTGATACTGTCGTGGAGAGTGTGAGAGAGCTTACCGGGTATGATAGAGTTATGGTTTATAAGTTTCATGAGGATGAGCATGGTGAGGTTGTGGCTGAGAATAAAAGGGCTGATTTGGAACCTTATATTGGTTTGCATTATCCTTCTACGGATATACCGCAAGCTTCCAGGTTTTTGTTCAAGCAGAATAGGGTTAGGATGATTGTCGATTGCCATGCTACACCAATCCGTGTAATCCAGGATGAGGGGCTCATGCAGCCTTTATGCTTGGTTGGTTCGACTCTTCGTGCTCCTCATGGTTGTCATGCTCAGTATATGGCGAATATGGGGTCGAATGCTTCCTTGGCTATGGCTGTTATTATTAATGGAAATGATGAAGAAGCTATTGGTGGGAGGAATTCGATGAGGCTTTGGGGTTTGGTTGTTTGCCATCACACTTCTGCTAGGTGCATTCCATTTCCGCTTCGTTATGCTTGTGAGTTCTTAATGCAGGCTTTCGGACTTCAATTGAACATGGAATTGCAGTTGGCATCGCAGTTGTCGGAGAAACATGTCTTGAGGACTCAGACTCTCTTGTGTGATATGCTTCTCCGCGACTCGCCTGCTGGCATTATTACTCAAAGTCCAAGTATCATGGACCTTGTGAAGTGTGATGGGGCAGCTCTTTACTACCAAGGGCAGTATTACCCATTAGGCGTGACCCCAACCGAAGCCCAAATAAAAGATATTGTGGAGTGGTTGTTGGCCCTTCATGGAGACTCAACTGGTTTAAGCACAGACAGTTTGGCTGATGCTGGGTATCCTGGGGCAGCCTCACTTGGTGATGCAGTTTGTGGGATGGCTGTTGCTTACATTACTAAGAGAGATTTTCTTTTCTGGTTTCGGTCTCACACTGCGAAGGAGATCAAATGGGGTGGTGCGAAGCATCACCCAGAGGACAAAGATGATGGGCAGAGGATGAATCCACGTTCTTCATTCAAGGCATTCTTAGAGGTGGTGAAGAGCCGGAGTTTACCATGGGAGAATGCAGAAATGGATGCCATTCATTCTTTGCAGCTTATTTTGCGAGACTCATTTAGGGATGCTGAAGCAACCAATTCTAAGGCTGTTGTACGCACCCAGCTTGAGGACATGGAATTGCAAGGGATGGATGAGCTCAGTTCGGTTGCAAGAGAAATGGTGAGACTAATAGAGACTGCAACTGCTCCAATATTCGCTGTAGATGTTGATGGCCACATAAACGGGTGGAATGCTAAGGTTGCTGAGTTGACTGGGCTCTCAGTTGAGGAAGCCATGGGGAAGTCTTTGGTTCATGATCTTGTTTATAAGGAATATGAAAACACTGTTGACAAGCTTCTTCGTCGTGCTTTAAGAGGTACCTACTTTATTTGCACATATTTAAGTTGTTTATCAAGTAAGGTTGTCCTCTTATGCTATGAATTCTTTTTAAGTTGCATCTGAGCATACAGGTTTGCCCCTTTAATAGAAGTAAACCTTGGAAAACATATATGGGTTTGAGGAATCAAAACACATTCTTTTTATATCGAGCATTTACCTTTTATATCACTTATTTTTAACTAATGCAGGTGAAGAAGATAAGAACGTGGAGATAAAATTGAGGACCTTTGGCTCTGAACACCAAAAGAAGGCTGTTTTTGTGGTGGTAAATGCTTGTTCTAGCAAGGATTACATGAATAATATAGTTGGGGTTTGCTTTGTTGGTCAGGATGTTACAGGTCAAAAAGTGGTAATGGACAAATATGTCCATATACAAGGTGATTATAAAGCTATTGTGCACAGCCCCAATCCTCTGATCCCTCCAATATTTGCTTCAGATGAAAACACTTGTTGCTTGGAATGGAACACTGCCATGGAAAAACTCACAGGGTGGTCCCGGGGGAAGTTATTGGAAAGATGTTGGTTGGAGAGGTTTTTGGCAATTGCTGTCGGCTCAAGGGTCCAGATGCGCTGACAAAATTCATGATTGCCCTGCACAATGCGGTTGGAGGGCTAGATACAGAAAAGTTACCGTTTTCATTATTTGACCGGAATGGAAGATATGTGCAAGCTCTCTTGACAGCAAACAAGAGGGTTAATATGGAGGGAGAGATTATTGGAGCCTTCTGCTTCTTGCAGATTGCAAGTCCTGAGTTGCAGCAAGCTTTGGAAGTCCAGAGACAGCAGGAAAAAAAATGCCTTGCAAGGATGAAAGAGTTGGCTTACATTTGCCAGGAAATAAAAAACCCTTTAAATGGTATACGCTTCACCAATTCGCTTTTGGAGAACACGGACTTGACTGAAGATCAAAAGCAGTTTCTCGAGACTAGTGCTGCTTGTGAAAAGCAGATATTGAAGATCATACGAGATGTTGATCTCGAGAGCATTGAAAATGGGTGAGTTTTCCTTAAACAAATTATCATAACTTAGTATTGACGTTGGTGGGAGTATTTCTGCTTTTTAGAAAGAAAGTTAGAGATATATTCATTTTGGCACTAGGTGATGTCAGTCTGATGCAGGTTTCATTCCCTTAAGTTCACTTGCAAAATTTTTAGGTCTCTTTTGCATGTTTTCTGATTAAAAACAAAATAACCTGTAAATATGACTCAGATGAGACTGTGCTACTCTGCTTTTAGTAGTCTAATACTATTGACTTTACCATCTGTGGATGCAAGATTGTATACAGTATTGATTTCTTTTCTATAATTTTGTTTTTGGCTTTTTAGTAAACCCAGGTGATAGCTTTTGCTTTTGACTATCTATATAATCATTTTAAGTTAATTATGTGCATTCAATGCGTTTTCTTTTATTTCTCATCTCCTCCAGCATCCACACATTCCTAACTTGAGAGAATCTCCATTTGCTTGTGAACTAGTTCGCTGGAGCTTGAGAAGGCTGAATTCTTACTTGGGAGTGTGATAAATGCTGTTGTTAGCCAAACAATGCTATTGCTGAGGGAAAGAAATCTACAATTGCTTCGTGATATTCCAGAAGAAATAAAAACACTGGCAGTTTATGGTGATCAGGCCAGAATTCAACAAGTATTGGCTGATTTCTTGTTGAATATGGTGCGTTATGCTCCATCTTCAGCAGGTTGGGTAGAGATTCATGTTTGTCCAACACTGAAGCAAATCTCTGATGGACACACTCTCGTGCATACGGAGTTCAAGTATGCTCTCCTTAACTCTCTTGCATGTTGATGATAACAATATTTATACTGATAAGAGGAAAAGCCAAAAATTGATGATGCCTGTTACTTGTGTTCTTTTTCCCTTATTTTTTTTTAACCCCTTTTTTTGATATTCTTATAGCTTTAATTATAAATGCCATTTCCTTATTCAAGTATTTTTCTTCTGTGAGACTGTAATGATTTTTACAATATTTTCTTTAGTCAGTCCGTTTGAACCTTGTTTGTTCTTCCTCACTCCTCATGGTAAGGCATGAATCCTAATCTGACTTCCAAGTTATAAATCTCAACCAGAAGATAGGTTTGAGTCAGTCAACGGGTATAGAATTAGATTCTTAGATTTGATCTGCCATTAACTATGACAATTACCATCATCAGAGCAATAATTTTACAATCTTGACTTCCAAAGTGGCTGCTTCCTTGAATTTGATGAATATTGGTCGTGTGAACAAGGAATGTTGATGCTGTAGTAGAGAGCTACCTATGCTTTCTCTTTGTTGTCTAAATGATATTGTGGTTTTTATGAAGCCCAGTTTATGGTGCTTCAGTTTGTACGCTTCTGTTCATCATATTATCTACACCAAGGAAATATAAATGATGGCTGCAAACTACATTGTGCAACGCGCTCCTTTCTTTCTCCTCCTTTGTTAAACAACCCAAGTCTCGTTAGTGCACTTCAGTACTAAATTAACTAATATTATTTTCTTTTGAAGGATTGTTTGCCCTGGTGAAGGTCTTCCTCCTGAATTAGTTCAAGATATGTTTCATAGTAGTAGATGGGTTACTCAAGAGGGCCTAGGGCTCAGCATGTGCAGGAAGATTTTAAAGCTAATGAATGGTGAAGTCCAATATATTAGAGAGTCAGAAAGATGCTATTTCTTAGTTATCCTTGAAGTACCCATGCCTCGAAAAGGTGGAAAAAGTGCTTCGAACTAGGATGTTTGGCCTGCAACATGAGGGGGTGGAAAAGGATACTAGTACTGCTGCACCGTGATGGGGTGGTTCCAAAAATACAGTTACAAGGTTTACGCTTGTGCCAGGGCCAGTTAATTTGGCTAATTTATCCTGCAAATACAACCATCTTGCTCTATCCACTTTGAATATGGTTTATGCTTCATCGAGACCAGTCCAAATCAACAACCTACACATATGAGGTAGCTTCTTAATTATTAGCCTTTTAATTTGAAGATCTCATCAATGTAGATAAGCCAACTTGTAATGCTGCGGTGTGCTGTCATTGTTATAAATAAAGGAGCATCAAAAGGATGCCATTAGATTGTTGCAGAGGCTTCCACGATGAAGGCCCTCCCAGGTCAAATACTTTCGCCTGCTGTAAGTATGCAAGTATGTACCATAGCTTCTGAAATCCCCAGACAAAGATAGCAGATTTGTCTGTTCTTGGTTACTCCAGCTAGAGCTAGTATGTATATACTTTTTATTTCATTTTCTTCTGTTTAATAAAATAAAATGTCCTGCTCTGGTATGTAGTTTGAGGATTTGTATTATGTCTCCCCTTGATTGAGGATTTTGGACTGCATAAGCTTGGATCACTTGGTTTTTTTTTTTTTTTTTTTTTTGTAATAACTTGGTTGATCTTTCATTGTACGGAGGGGTCACATATATGCCTAATAGAGTGCTTGGATTGGTGTTGCTCGCTTGCTTTGCAGGTGGGTTTGTGCATAAATTTCTCCATAAACAACTAGTCCAAGTTTAGATACTTGATTATTTTATTAGTGATACCCTATGCATGAATGAATTTATTAACTCTTCTTTTTTCTTGAATTCATCACCCTATAACCCCAAAGACAAGAACTCAAATTCTTGTCCCCTCTGCCTACAGGGTTATGGATACATTGAACGACTCCGATGGAGGACGTCACCCATTTAAGATGTATGAGCTTAATTAACTGTTGCAATTTCCTTTAGTCCTATCAAGTTTGCTTAATAACATGATAGTTTAATTTAGTTGGTAAGTCGGTAACTTCGCCACCTTATCAACAAGGATGAATTTTAGCCTTTATGCATGTAAGTTGGATCGAAGAATAACATTTAATACTCAATGAAAAGTTTTCTTAATTAGATATTCAGGTCTACTGCTTAAATATGCTAGTTTTATGTTACCTCCAGGCACCAGAGAAGGATAAGGGCAACTTGTAAAGACATCTCAAAGCTTGTGGAATTTCTATTTTATGGCAAATCCAGCCCAGTATTTAGTCGGGCGGAAGTTTCTCTATGGATCATCTAGCTAGGTTATTAACTTAGTTAAACCCAGTTGATTCCATCAAAACTGGATTGACTGCATTAATCCTGTCACCACTCTATCAAAACCCTACCAAGTAATATATATATATATATATATATATATATATATATTCACACACTTGACTTTTACGAGAAGGGAAAAGAAAAGAAAAATTGTTTTGTGGGTTGAATGAGGAACTTACCTGTTGACCCAATGACAACTGTAAAAAGCCTAAGGGTTTAAACAAATACTATCTCTTATAAGTGATATATGATATCCCTAAATTATATTTTTATTTATTTAATTTATTTTTTACTAAAAAAAGAGCACAAGAAGGTGTGAGTTTATTTGATGATGCCTCTGTCTCTATCGCACTAAAAGTCTAAAACTACTATGTGCATGCACGCCCTGCCCTTAAACATGCTGTGCACGCAAATAAAAGTTCGAGAGAGAGAGAGAGGGGGAAAAAAACAAGAAGAAGAAAAACTCTAGAAAACTGAAAAAGGAATGAAAGAGCAAAAAATTGGCACGTTGCCTACTTGCCTCTTGTTTCCAAAAATAGATATCAAAAATTTATTAAGAATGGCACGTATCTGGGAAAGATGAGGCATAAAAATAGCCACCGGGGGCATGTATTTAAAAGAGGGAAAGAAGGTGTCATAGAACCAAGCCCCATGCGTCCCCATGCAAAAATTAAGCCATTCATATCCTCTTTATAGATGAAGATAAGCTGTACAGATAAAGACAAGAAACATTCTTCTCCCGTGGTGGTAAATTCTTCTACATTAGATATACATTAAGGGCAAAACGTCTAAATTGTAGATGATTAAGACAGATTTAGTTTAGACGTCATTATTGCACTTATCTTTACTGGTCTGACCTGCATGAATCTCTTGCGGACTTTCAGAATGGATCGCACCTTTCATTAGAATTTTGGGAGAAAGGGTGTTGTTATAAAAATTATAACAATAGTTAAAGCAAGAAAAATTATCACTCGTTAGCGGTTGATAAAACTAAATATTAAATACTAAATTTTAATTATCGAATAATTAAGTATTGAATACATTATTAATAAATTATTTGATATTTACTGAAAATTAAGTGTTGAATATAATAAGATTATTTGATAAATATTTTACTGAATATATTAAAGATATTTATATGATAATTTTAACATTATATATATATATATATGTTTATGTGTATAAATAAATAAATTAGTTAATTTTAAAATACTCTTGAATCATATGCTACACCCAAACAAAAATAAGAATCATATCAAAATCACATATCGTAAGAATTTATATAACTTGAAATACTTGACGAAGTTGATAATAATGTTGAATTTAACTTAAATCTGGATAAAATGCAGCAATTATAATCATAATTCTGTCTAGTTAAGCAAAACAATGAAAGCAATCCAACAAAAACAGTAACAACAAAACCCATAGTATCCCTAGAAACCACAAAAATTAGTTAATTTTATAGTCATGGTTTGATGGGATCAAAACCAACTCCAAAATAACAGTAAGTTTGAAAACGAGTTAAAGCAAGAAAAAATATTACTAAATACTCATGGATTGTGAAATATTTCTTAGTTTAAGTTCTGCCCTTGCCTCTCTAAGTTATGCCAAATCACAATTGCACACGCCTGATAGATAGAGTGAGGGTAAGAATATACTAATTTTCTTTTTACTCAATAGATTTTGGGTTCCAAAACAATTCTTGTTGATCTAAATTAATTAAATTTTGCTCACAATAATTGAGGATTAAATGATGAATGAGGTGTCATAACCATAGTTTTGAATAACGGATACATAATTTAACGGTTAAAATATAACGATCGCAATTATCGTTGTTGTGAATTATTTAACAACAATAACAAATTTAAAAATAAATATTAATTTGATATTTTTATTGAATGAACATAATACTAGTAATTTTTTTTTGTTATATATACACACACCATTATCATTCAATAATAATTACACTCGTTAAAAATTAAATTTTAACTTAACCTAACTTTTAAATTGTTATTCAAAAATTATTTTAATAAAATTATAATTTAGTTATTGGTTGTTCGGTGGAGGAAAAATTGACTTATAATATTTTTTTGTGCAATAAAAAAATAAAAAAATTAATAAATTTTTAAAATTATATAGAGTAAAAAAAGGTAAAAATATAATTCTAAAACTGAGCCTAATTATCACTTAAATAAAAAAAATATAGGCCTAATAAGAATTGTGTCAGTTATTTATTTATTACGGACTCAATTATATAACATGGCACAAAAATAATTTCTATGTTTAAGTGAAAAGCTCATGTGTCTTGCCTATACTTAGAAATTTTTTTTTTTGGTCGCCTCCCTCCCTGTCTCTTCTTCTTCCATAGGGGTGTTCACTATTCGGTTAAAACCGAAATACCGAACCGAATTAACAATTTCGGTTCGTTTTTTTTTTAAAACGAAAATAAAAAACCAAAATTATTTCGATTCGGTTCGGTTTTTTTTTTTCAAATTTGGTTTCCACCAAAAACCGAATTAGTTTTTTTTTTTTAAACACATACTCAAACTCTTTTAAAAAAAAAAAAATCAAAGAGGCCCCTATGAGTTTAACTAAAAGAACAATAGCTTTAATGATTTTTTTTCTACTTAAAATAGAAATATTTTTCATTAATTATTTATTGAAATAAAAAATAATTGATTATATTATATTGACTCACAAAAAAATAAAAAAAAGACTATGATAAAGAAATTCTTTATGAAAACACAAATTTATAGGTGAATCCTAAAACCTCATGAAAAAAAAAATTGTCTCCTTGTATTAAAATTGGCACAAACATAAATTAAAAATTGAATTTTTCATATTATATATTCAACAATAAGATATGCACAAAATAAATAGATTAAAAAAAAGAATATGAAAAATTAATAAAAAAACCAATTATACCGTGATTGAAAAAATAATGAGAAGCCCAACTAATTTAGTTTATAATATAAATAGAAACATATTTATTATAGAAAAATAATAATAATCATACATAATTTTCTTATAAAATCAAATGTGAAATATGCAATCTTTGATTATGTAAGTTTGATATTTTTTAAAAGCAAAATAATTCGATTTTTAGAAGAAAAATGCAAAAAAAAAATGCAAAAAAAAAATTCAGTTTTTAACCGAAAACCGAACGGAAAAAATTTGGTTTTAAACCGAAAAACCGAACAACAATTCGGTTCGGTTTCGATTTTTTTTTTAGCCAATTTGATTAACCGAAAACGAAAAAAAAAACACCGAAATTGAACCAAAAAACCGAATGAACACCTCTATTCTTCCCTAACTCCATCTCTCTCTCTCTCTCTTTTTCTACCTAAAAACGCCTTCCTCTCTCTATCTCTTCTTCTTCACTAAAACAAATTCTTGCTATAGTTTGTTCTTCATCCCGATTCGTGTATTTTATAATTTCAACACCTAAAATTTTACAAAAGCTGGGGTTGATGGAGATAAAAAGGCTGAAAAAGGGACCAAATCATGAGGTAGCTACAAGCTTGCAAAGGGTGAAAGGGTTTTTTTTTTTTTTTTTTTTTTTACAACGATAAATAACGATGTTATGTAACAATAACATCATTATTTGCTGTTATAATTGTAAAACGATAACGAGACACTCACAACGTCAAACAACAATGACAAAATGCCTCAATATGATTATATAACGATAAATAATTATATTATATAATGACAACATTATTATCTGAAATTATAGTTGTGAAACCACAATGGGACACCCATAATGCCGAATAGCAATAATGGAGTGTCCCGATATCGTTGTATAATGATCATTACGTTATATGATAACCGTTATTTAAAATTATGATCATAATCTATATCAAGCAATCGACTCTATGATAAAATGAATTGAATAGAAAATAAAGAATAAAGACATGTTGGTAATTTGTGAAAAAAAAAATATTAAGTCAATCAAATCGGTGGTAATTGTCTTTGCAAATTACAGTTTTTTTCTCTCCCTAAACTAAGGAAGGTAGGTTGAAATCTTATTTACCAAAACTATTGTGTCATTTCAATCTTGTTTACTAAAACCAATGCATTTTTTGTCATGTAAGATGTTAATTTTCCATGTCATTTTTACTTATATATGTTTTTGCAAACAATGTAATCAATAAACAAAAAAATGAACACAAAAAATTAAAATGATTCTATTGCATCTATAAAAAAAAAAAAACAGATTATATTGCATCTCCTTTGCTCCGTCCTCGCCCCCTCTCTTTTTCCAAAAATGTGTCTGCCGACAGGAAACTCATATCTCTGATTGTTTTTTTTTTTCAATAAGAAATTCATCCCCATAACGTAAAATATGTATGCGACTATGGATTGTTAGTCATAGCGATTGACATGACACATCCTTCCTTTTGTCTTTCTAAACTTAGGGTTAATATATATATTAGTTCAGGTTTTTCCTTTTTGTCAATTCATACAATAAACTTAAATTTTCCACACGAAGTTAATGGCACAAAGCACAATCCAAGAAATTATGTATTCGTTTTTTAATTCTATCAATAGTTGCGTAATCCTATCCATTCTTATTAAATATGAAAAAAATAAAAGGCAAGAAAATCATATTATTTGTTATGATACTAACTCAATCGATTTTTTATTTTTATTTTTTAAGATTGTGAAGGAAAAAGACATGAAGAGGATGAGAGAATCCTTCAGAGTTTTATGTTCTTTGTTTGTGTCTGTTTATTTTCTGGGTTATTTATTATTATTATCATCATCATCTAAGAGAATGGGTTAGGTGTAATAGGTTTTACCGATAGTTTTGTTCAGGACAAAATGACTTTGATTGATAATGTAAATCCCACATGGCATAAAATATACTATTTGAGTAAATAAGTTTAAATCAAGAAATTTTAAAATAATTAAGAAATAATTATAATATTACTTCATAATCTATTTTGAGAAGATATATATATAATAATAAAAAATACATACGAAGATATTAAAGGCATGAAAATATTTTTATTTAAATTCAATTTTTTTTAAAATCCTCTTTCTCACTTCTCTCGCTATAAATTAATTACTACTTATAAAATTTTTCTTTTAAAACTATCAGATATTCATAAATAGCATTGAAAAGCACCTTACACGGATAAAACGAGAAAACCATTGCAAATTAAGTAATCCAAATGTTGAAGTTATTAAGCTCACATTATCCATTATTAAATCAAGTGACACAATGTACCCAAAAAAAGGTAATTTAAGTGGAAGGAATAGAAAGTGGAGTGGAAATAAACTGGTGCTCAATGGGGAAGCCTTTTAGCAGAAAAGGAAAAGCCAAAAAAGTAAGTCCCCGAAGCAAATATTAAGCTAACACGCTGTCTCGCGTATAATTAACGTGCTCTTACAGTGGACGAATTGCCAAAAATCTACCACCACTATAGGCTATAACTTTACACGCGTTTGTCTAGCACGTGGGACAACAAAAGTGTGTTGCTTTTTAATTTAATAATATAATATTGTAACGTCTGGTCTAAATTGTTAGATTAAGATGACGAAAGGAAAAGGAAAAGAGCAAAAGTCCAAAAAAGGAGAACAAGAGACCACCACAACCAAACCGCCAAACCAACAACCAAGCGAAAGCTGTAAGGGAGGATGGATTCTTTGTTTGCCTCGTATTTTCGGATCAGTTTTTCGTGTATAAAAATATTAAATTATTTTTAATAGATTTTTTTAACTTATTACGAAAATTTCTTCGGCACACCTACACGAGAATATACAAAGATCCACTAATTATCTGAGTCAATAACTTAAAAAATATTTTAAAAGTGAAATTTTCCTGAATTGGATGTTAATCATTTCATTGCATAGGTGAAAATAATTAATTCTTTAATTAAAAAAATTAGAGAAAAATTCACTTGAAAGCAAAATAAATATTTTCGTGGTATTTAAGTTTACAGCAAGAGAATTAAAATACTAGAGAGAGAGAGAGAGAGAGAGAGAGAGAGAGAGAGTGTGTGTTTTTGTGAGTTTATAGAGAGATGAAGTAAAAGGAGAAGACGAATAATAATGGCAAGCCATAAAAACCAAAAGAGAAAGAAAGAAGCCTAATGAGCTGATGGTGATAAAAAGAAAAAAAAGGAGAGATAGACCGAGAGAGTTAAGAAAAAAGAAAGAACTTCTCGACCCCTCAATATCCCCTTCTTTAAGAAATCAGGAACAAGCAAGGTAGAGAAAGAAAGAAAGAAAGATCTCAATGAACTGATATATCAAGAAACAAGAAAATGGAAAGCACACCACCAGCAGGAGAGCTACTAAGAAAGATCCAAGAACTTGAGGCAGGACACCATCATCTTCAACGAGAAATGTCAAAGCTCAAGCTTACCTCTACTACTACCGATCCAAAACCAACCCAACAAAGGTCCCATTCTATATCTCCCCAAAGGACAGGTCCTAGGAGACGGGTTGCTGGGGGGCCAACCGGGTCGGGTTTTGAGACTGCCTGGAAGAAGGGTTCTGCTTCATTTAGACATTCATCGCCTTTACAGAGAGAAAGTAGAAGTTTGAATAGTAATAATGATAGAGATGGTAATACTTATGGTGGCAGAGAAGGAGGAGATGGTAATAGAGGACCTTCTGCTGTGAAGTTTACTGATAAACAATATTTGAATATATTGCAGTCTATGGGACAGTCGGTTCATATTTTTGATCATTCAGGTCGTATTATTTACTGGTAAGTGTGTGGTATTTTTTTTCTTGTATTTTTATTTCACATCTTTTGTCATTTGGGGTTGTTGTTTGTGTGTATGGTGCGTTTCTTTTGGTTTAAACTTTGAATGGGTAGTTGATTTTTAATTAATGTTGTTGGAACTGTAGATATGTTGGTGGTTGACTATGGAAATTTTGATCCTGATTTCTGAATTTGGTCGGTATTGAATGATGACCCCTTTTAATTTGGAGTTGTAATGTAAATTTGTGATTTTGAACGAGTTTCGCGTGATTTTGTTTTTGCTGGGGTTTTCAAGGTTATGTGGGAATTGGTTTTGAAGACATTGATTATGGGGTTCAGGCTTATTGTTATGATTGTGCAGGAACCGAACAGCAGAGAACCTTTATGGTTATTCAGCAGCAGAAGCTCTTGGTCAGGAGGATATTGAGCTGCTAATTGATCCTCGGGATTATGCAGTGGCAAATGGTATTATCCAACGGGTTAGCATGGGGGAGAAATGGACAGGGAAGTTTCCAGTTAAGAATAAAATGGGCGAGAGGTTTACAGTTGTTGCTACCAATACTCCTTTATATGATGATGATGGTGCTTTGGTTGGGATTATTTGTGTATCGAGTGATTCACGCCCTTTTCAAGAAATGGGAGTTGCATCTTCGGATCCGAGGAATTTAGAAGCAGAGTCAAGCTGTAGTCGATCCAGGAATATCGTCATGAACAAACTTGGTCTTGATTCTCAACAGCCCTTGCAAGCAGCAGTTGCGTCAAAAATATCAAATTTGGTCAGTCTATTAGTTTTTTGTGTTCTTGCGTATTTAACTATACAGCATGGCATAGCTTGATTGTTAGAATCACCAAAACAGGCATCCAAGATGAGCAACAAAGTCAAGTCCAAAATTCGGACGGGAGAGAACAACATGGATCGTGAAGGAGGGAGTGGGGATAGTCACTATTCTGACCATGGGTACTCGGATGCACCTCTATCTGACCACCGGGAGGATGCAAATTCTAGTGGAGCTAGCACGCCAAGAGGAGATGTATATCAGTCTCCTTTTGGTGTATTTTCTCATATTGACGACAAGTCTCCAGTAAAACCATCCACAGACTCTGGTGATGAGAGCGAAGGAAGGCCTTCAATTCACAAGATCATTACCTCAAAGGCAGAAGCATGGATTGGTAAGAAAGGGTTGTCATGGCCCTGGAAGGGGAATGAAAGGGAAGGCTTAGAAGCAAGGACAACACGTTTTGGGTGTTCTTGGTTGCAAAATGATCAAGAGAGTGAAACATTTCATCAGAGAAGTCCCTCTTCTGGTGCAAAATCTGAAAGCCAGGTCAGTGAAAGTAATCGACCTGCCCATAACGAGGCTTCTGGGTCCTGGTCTTCAATTAATGTTAACAGCACAAGCAGTGCCAGTAGTTGTGGAAGTACCAGCAGTACTGTGAATAAGGTGGACGTGGATACTGATTGCTTGGATTATGAAATATTGTGGGAAGACTTGACGATTGGAGAGCAAATTGGGCAAGGTATTATCTTTAAGTTCAAAAGTGTGCTTCTAGAGTATCTACTCTGAACTATCTTTCCTGAACTTGAATTTTTTGCTTCCTCATTGATTGTCTGGTGGCAAATAATAGTGATCTGTTGTTATGCTTCTTTATCTTTTATCTTTGAGCTGAGATGTTTTGCTTGACTATGCTTCATTCTCATTCTCACTTTACCATTTTTATTTTATATTCCTGCAGGTTCTTGTGGAACTGTATATCATGCCCTGTGGTACGGATCAGTATGTTCTCTTGCTCTTTTCCTTTTAAACATCTTTATTCTCAATGATGCATAATCACAAAATTATATGAATTCAGATTTTTGAGATAAGATTTATCATTGTGCCTGCCATCTATCCAAATCTAAGGTGCAAATTCAATTCAAAATTGCCAAGTCTGAACTTTGTAAGCATGTATGTCTATGGGATTGGTATGTGTTACATAAATCACATAAATGGGATGTTTTGTCCATTTAGTATATGTGACTCTGCTTTCTTATTCTTACAAAATACAAGATGCTGCCTTATGAGCTAGGATCTCTATAGAGCTTTAATTGTTTTTTGCATTTTGTGGAATGAGGAAAAGAAGCAAAAAAACTTTGTGATTATGATAATTTTTGTCTTCGGGTGAGTAATACTCATTTTATTTCAGGATGTTGCTGTCAAGGTATTCTCCAAGCAAGAATATTCAGATGATGTTATACTTGCATTTAGACAAGAGGTGTGATTCCTATTTATTTCAACCAAATCTTTGTTACATTTTCTTGCTTCCTTGTTAGCTCAACAGAATCTTAGTTACAGTTTGTTGCCGTTTAGATGCATTTCAATTCTGATGTTTCTTGTATGGTTCCAAGTATCTTGCTATGCATGCTCCATTTTAGCTACTTCCTCTTCCTTGTGTTTTTACCTGCTACAAACTCGCCCATATGTACATGATTTCTATTGTCTTACAACTGCCAATGACCTTGCAATCAAAATGATGGTAACTTTTTAATGAAAGGTCGTTTAGAAGATCTCATTGTCTGCAATGACCATGAATGCTTATGTAGGTGTAGACAAGTGATACAATTTAATTGAAGGCTTTGAAGTCTCTAAGAATTGAAATGCCTTAGTTGGAGATAGATGAGCAACACGAGATTTTCTCAGGTGTATTTGTTAAAGCTGTATTATGGTTACTGGTACTGTCAAATCTTGAGTGCAAATAGTTTAACACTGCTGGATCTTGCCTGAAGAATTGAGTTACTTTTGGGATTCAGATTTGGGAATATATCCTGTCTTGCATTGTGATATAATGAAAAAACCCCCTTCCCCTGCCTTTTAATATAGCATTGATGGCCTTATTCGTTTCATTCATGAAGGTATTGCTTATGAAGAGACTTCGGCATCCACATGTTTTGCTCTTCATGGGTGCTGTGACTTCACCTCAGCGTCTCTGCATTGTTACAGAGTTCCTCCCACGGTAATCCTGAACTCCATGTCAATAACTGTGAATGATGAGCTGTAGGTTTTGTTACCTTTCATTGTACCAGCTTAAAATGATGTCTGATTTTTGTAGGGCATCATATGATTGAAATTAACTTGTAAATCTTGAAGAAAATGATATGTACTTTTCAGTAACTGTTCTATTTTCCTGTTAATGCAGTGGAAGTTTATTTCGCTTACTGCAGAGGAACACAACCAAACTAGATTGGAGACGACGTGTTCATATGGCATTGGATATAGTGAGTGTTGAATTCTTTTACAGAAATATACTCAATTTTCCTAGTAGGAATTATTGCTTGGTGTAGTGGTAAAACTGTTGGGCTTGTAATGACAAGGGTTCAGGTTCAAGTTGGGAGGTCATCCACTTTACGTTAAAAAATGCCGAAGGGTAACTATGACTCTGATTTTTTCCTTCTAAGATCCCCATTCGGTGGGATGAAGGTGGTTTAATCACTGTCTTTGTTTTCTTTTTGAGGATCTATATGGTTTTTGCATTTGTTTGGGGTTCTTGAGGTGTTCTGATTGATATTTAGTAATGAAGTGTAACCCATCCTTTATTTTATTGTTTGAATTTTTCTACAGGCTCGAGGTATGATCTATCTTCATCATTTCAACCCGCCTATCATTCATCGTGATCTGAAGTCTTCAAATCTCTTAGTAGACAAGAACTGGAACGTAAAGGTTTGTCATTAATTATAAGTATTTTCTTTTGCAATTTGTTTGGTTGTCTATTTGACTCCTTCAGTTTGAGATATCTTGGATATCTTTTTTCTCCATTGAGGTGAAAAAATTACTGCATTATATTTAACCAGGTTGGAGATTTTGGTCTATCACGTCTAAAGCATGAAACTTATTTGACAACAAAGACCGGCAAGGGAACGGTACTACAGCTTTTGTTATTCTATTTATCTTATCAAACTATTTGTTCTGTAATTGTTATCATTAGGCTGATTACAAAATTTTAAGGTCAAATTCCCACTCTACTTCGTATATTTTGTCGTTGTAGCCTCAATGGATGGCACCCGAAGTTCTCCGAAATGAACCCTCGGATGAGAAGTACGTTCTACCCTTTGGGCTGTGAAAACATTAAACTTTGAAACTTCTGATTGAAGTGTCTTCTGGACCCTAAGCTTGAATTGATTTCTTTTTTGCTGTTTGTGTTTCATTAGGTCTGATGTATACAGCTATGGAGTGATACTTTGGGAGCTTGCCACTGAGAAGATCCCTTGGGATAATCTCAACTCAATGCAGGTATAGTTTTCACTCGAAAATTTGGGAGGGCATTTTTCTCAGGAAAGCAGATACCAAATGTTGTGTATTCGATAATATACAGTCGTTGAGAACTTCAATATTAAAATACATTGCTGGCAGCACCTGTACTGGATGTTCAGGCAGAACTTTTCCAAATTTTCAATTCTGCAAATAATAAATAATGCTAACATGGCACTGCGCATATGAACAATAGTTTGTTTAGTATACTTTCAGGTGGTTGGAGCTGTAGGGTTCATGAACCAGCGGCTTGAGATCCCGAAAGATGTGGATCCACAGTGGGCTTCTATAATTGAGAGTTGCTGGCACAGGTCCTTATTTTCTTCCACTTGATTCCAAAAGAAGTGTTTTTAGTGTTAAGCAATTTACCCATGTTGAAAGTGTTTCGATGGTTGGTTAGGGTGCTTATTAGACGTCCACTACTCTAAATTATTGACATACAAATGCTCAACACTTTCTGGTTATAAAGACCCAAGGGTCCAATGTTTTGATGCTAAATGATGACTCCTATTCTTTTCTCTTTTGATTTTCATATTTTGACTGACAATGTTTTTCCCATGTCATCATAAATGTATTATTTAAAAAAAATTGTAGGTGCCCAAAAAATATGAATTATTGCCCTGGGCAGAGCTAAATGGAAGATGCATGTAACCAACACCAAGTAGTTAAACTAGGATTAATGAGTTGACTCGTAGATGTTGTGCATGAAATGCTTATGATTGTAAGGTTCAGATAGTTGGTTTTGTTTGATTTTGGCTGTGGAGATTTTTCAATTATTGTTGGAAGATATCTGATGTTGATCTTGTAGATTTCATTTTGGTGGTGAATATTTTATAGAATAATTAGGTTTGGTCGTAGGTACTGATTAAGACATAATTGTACTGGAAAGTGAGATCATTTGTTGTTCTTGCCACCTTTTTTACAGTTCTCAATTATTTATGTTCCCACTTTTTAAGAGCTTTCTGATGGTTGAATTTGTAACTTTGTCAAAACCAGTGATCCACAGTGCCGTCCAACATTCCAGGAATTGCTGGAAAAGCTCAAAGATCTCCAAAGACAATATGCCATTCAGTTCCAGGCAGCCCGTTCTGCTGCTGGAGAGAACACACAGAAGGAACTATAGACCAGATTCATATGCTTGTTGTCTCATTAGCATTGCCACGTATAGCAATGACCTTGCTTTTCCAAAAGGCTCGTGTCTATCCAAGTGCTGCTGAAGAGAATGGTTACTGGGATAGCCCTTGGATTGGCACTAAAGCTTGGGGTATTGGCTTGGAAAAGCTCACGCCAGATGGAAAAAGAAAAAGAGAAGAAAATGATAAAAGAGTAGTTGGCATCCATGCGAGCTGCCTAATTTTTGATAGTGATTTGTCGGGGTTGGTTGATTGGTTGTGGATATTTGTTTATTTACTAACATCATTAAAGTCTTAGGCGTCCGTCAGTGGTGCTGTGTTATTGGCATTGTGTTTGGATTCATGTAATAAACCCATTAGTGATTTCTATGTGAGAGATGTTTAGGACCACTTAGAAAAGTTGTACAGTAAACACAGTTTTCTATTCATCAAGTAGGAGAGTGAGATAGAAAAATGTCTTTCCTAGGTTATTTTTTCTTTACCTGTTTGCTTAAAAGAGATGGATTTGTTGCCTAAATTGTTGCATTTCCGTCTCACCCACTCAGGCAATTTTAGAAGTCAGCAAGAAGAACTCAGCTTTCATGAATTAATCTAATGTTTTTTTTTTTTTTTTTTTAATCTTATTATTAAAAGATGATGTAATCTAAGTTGGCATATACCCTTCGATACTCTTCTTATAGAGGTTCAATTATATGCGTGTGGGTTTTGGCATCTCATAGTTTGACTTGTGTTTCAAGAGAGGTGATGATTGTTGGGCTTTCTCCATTGATGGGCAGAGAAACTCGTAGATGATCTAAGGAATTCAGTTTAAAGAAGAAAGAAAAGTTAGAAAAGACCATATTTTGGTTATATGTTTTAAGCGAGTGTTGCTATTGGTGGAAGGTTAAAAAGTTAGGGGAAGTTATCGAACCATAACAGCTTGAAAGTAAGGAATGAAAAAAAGAAAAAAAGAAAAAAAAAAAAAGGCGATAAATTTGAAAAGAACACAGAAAAGATACTTTTTTGAACCTTGAAATTTTTTCACTCTCTTTCCTAAAAAGGTCAAACTTTACCCCTCAATTTGCATAATTGGATTGATTTTCATCTCATCAGCTATTGCATTTTAAGACCAAGAGAAAAGCTAGCAACATTTTCTTCTAATACTTTTTTTTTAAACTTTGTTTAATAAAAATATTCACATAAAAATTTCTTAACTACCTCCAATATCCAAGCAAAAAAATTAGCAATTGAAGATAAATGATATTTTATGTTTTACAAAATTTTTAAATTACAATCAATCTCATATTATTTTAAAAAATAAAATACTTTTTTTTAAATTATTCTTTGACATAAAACACCAGTGTAATAGATAATTATCTATTTGTTGTAAAAATAAAACACTCAATATTTGCATTCAGGAAAAAAAAATAGAAAAAAAAAATTGAGAGTTGATAGCAATAATTTACCGTGGGACAGCCCAATTACTATCTCCACATAAGAAATCTCATTTGAACGGGCACTGTGATTCAATGCCTGAGAAGCTAGTGGTGTTAGGATCATCCAATGGATACCCGGTGACTTCATTTTCAGTCGTTATGCATTCCGTCTCTTTCTCCATTTCCAGGATACATGGCCTTCAACTGCCATGAAAAAAATACAAAAAGGAAAATTAGAAGCAGTAGGTTTAGTTCCTTCTCGATACTGAAATCAATTATAGCAGTTTGTAGAAAGAAAAAAAAATAAAAAAGAAAAATAAACCTTACCATAAGGTCAATCGAACTTATCTGCTTTCTTAGTTGGATGTTTTCTTGCTTTAAGTTAAAATGAAATTTTGTAAATTTCTCCATTGCATTACTAAAAATTTCGCAATTAAACAAAGTAATGTAAAGACACAGTTCATCTCGTAAGAATGTATTATAAAAATAAATACGATATGATTTTAATAATCTTTACTTCTTCATAATTTTCAGGGTTCAAGTCATTAACAAAAGCTTGCTGTGGGGCTCCAAGTAAGTACAATTATATTGACAACCATATGAAAGCTTGTGGAGCTCCTAATGCAACAGTGCGATAATAGATAATTATCTATTTGTTGTAAAAATAAAACGCTCAATATTTGCATTCAAGAAAAAAAAGAAAATAAATCTTAACTCTTAGTTTCAACTTAATAGTTTTTCAGATAATTTTAACACTAGAATTTTTTTTTTAATCTTTTAGCTAATATAAAATTGGTTGTAATTTAAATTTTATTTTTAAAGAATATGGAAATGAGTTATTTTTTTTGTTTACTACTTTTTTTTGCTAAAATGTTTGGCGTAGACACTTTTATTGAACAAATGTTTAATAAAGCATTAAAAAAATATTGTTAGCATCCCTGTTAAGACTAAATGTAATTTTGATAGAACTAGTCATCTTCTCGCACTATGTTGCGGATCTAGTAGAAAAAACCATTTTAAAATTTTATAATTTTATAATTATAAATTTTTATACACTTAAATTTTTTAATAAATTTTTTTGCTTAAAAAAACATAAATCATTCTTTTTTTATGGATTCATTTTAAAATAAAAAATATAATTTTTTAACTAAAATATTAATCAAGAATTAAAATAACTTTTGAAATATAATTTTCATAATATTGTATTTCAAAAAATAAAGTTATAATTAATGGATAGATTTTTATAAAAATTAACAAATGAGAAAAAATTCTTATTTAATGTTGATGAGAGTATTAATTTTTGAAATTATTTGCACAACGTTACTAGTAGATAGAACACCTAATTAAATTAAAAAATATATAAATTTATGAAAATTATAAAAAGAACATGTAATTAAAAAAACAAAAATATCATATACATATAAAATATAATATATATTATATAATAGTCAGTTTGTGTAAAAAAATAACGATTGACTTTTTAAAATTGTAGCACCTAATTAAATAAAAAAAGAACATAAATTGATGAAAAAAAAAAGCAAAATTGCTTTTTCAAAATAGCATAAATTGATGAAAAAAGACAAAGGAAAAAAACCATGTGTGGTGCATCGGTTAGATGATTAAAATTTTAGAGATCAAAATAAAATAAATCTAAAAATTTTAAAAAATTAAATAAAAAAATCTAAATTGTTGAAAAAAAAGCAAAGCAGGAAAAACATGTACAGTGAAACTAAGAAAAAAAATACGCTTGAAAAAAAAACTTGTTTGTAAAAAGTTGAAGAAAGGCTGGCAGAGGGGAAAAAAGGTTAACATGTAAGTGTGGAAAAAAAAAAAAAAACAGCTGAAAACACACTGTTTATTGAACAATGAAAGTAACAGTAAGTGCATAGTAAATGTAACAAGTAGGTATTTATTTTTCTAGCATCAGCTGCTTGTAACTGCTTCTGTTAAGTAAGTGTTTAAATTCCAACGGATGCCTTCACAAAAGAAAATTTTTCTCACCTAGGGGAGCAAACCGTCCTATTAGACCGGAGCCAATAAAAGGGATGCCGACACGATACAGAAGATGCTTTGCTCGAATTGTAGCCACCCTTTACCAAGCCTAACATCGCATCTTAAAAGACCCAGCTCTGGTCGTGCATCACACTACCACATGCGATGAGCAATAGTTCTTCCTCAAGTTCCCATGTTGTATCAAGGACTATTGCCTTGGCTTGTTGTCAGCAATGTCTGATGCTTCCTGCCGATGAAGTCCAATAATAAGCATCCACTAGGACAGGTGGACCGTAAAGGCTTTGAGTGAGCTAAGCAGATTCAGGGCGCGCACACACTATTTCACGACAAAAAGACAAGAAGCACAATGAATTTGAGACAAATGTCAGGATGTGATTTTTGCAGCCAATTTTGATTTTGCCTATAAATGTATGGTTGATTACCATTTGCTGATCACGGAGAAACAGGAAAAAAAAAAAAAAAGAATTGAGGCACAGAAATAAATCTATCTAGGAGGGTGCCATGGTAGATACAGATTTGGAAAACCATAGCAAGCATGTTTACATAGGTTATCAATTCGAAACAGTTTATGCAAATGAAAAAAACAATCGGACTTCCACATTGGCATTCCAAAGAGTTTCTTCACGTAGCTCGTTCTCAGAAAATTTAAACCCCAACATTCCCAACGAGTTTTCTAGTGAAGCAGATGTCGAATCGCAGCAACAGCATCGCCTTTGTGCTCACGTAAGGTTCTCTCTGCTACCTTCTTGTCCAACTGGTGTCAACATCAAAGTAAAATGCCATAAGCAACTGGCAGATGCAAAATGAAATGCGTTAATGCAAATGGGAAAACACTAGGAAAGTAACCTCTAATTCATTTGCAATTATGTCAATATCAGCTGTGTTGATCTTCACAGCAGCCAATTCTTTCTCCCTGTCAAGCAGCACAAGTATAATGTTTAGTTGAAAAAGGCAAGACATTAAATAGGTAGCAGTCCAAGAAAAATGAAGATATACAATAAGATAAGGAATAGATTTCCAAGAAAATAGTCATGCTGCAGTGCCTACTGGTTTACATACAAAACAGAGCACAACTGAACTTCAGAGCAAGGCACAGAATTCTGTGATTCTACTCGGAGAGATGTGAAATTCCAGCTCAGAGGAAGAAAAAAGATGCACATCTATGTGCAAATGAAATGACTAAAAGAATAATTAAATGTTCTTCAACAAATGTTACGTCCAAGTATTTATCCGAATATCCAATACAGAAACTCAAAAAGCATACATTTAGATACTGATCTGTTCAATGTAATTCGTAATTTATCCTTTTCACTGGCATTCGAGAAAAAAGTCTTCGTAAATATTAGCTAAGTATTACATATTAAAGATTGCCATACCTAAGAGTTTTCCTTCTCCTATCCTTTTGTTTAATTTATAACCATCATTTAAACTACAAAAACAAAGCTTTAAGGCATCGCATCCACCAGGGTGAAATTAAACCAGCTAAAATAATCTGTTTGCATTGTTATGTGAATATCATAAATCATACCAGTAAAACATATCCATATTTATTCATTAAAAAAAAAAAAACATATTCATAACCAATTTAATATTAAAAAAAAAATAGTGCTCTAATTTCTTTAAGCAAACCCCCCAAGAAATGAAACTCGAGCATCAAATTATTACCTTATTCTGAATCAAGAAAAGAAATAATCCACACACGGGTAAAGTGTGCGATTAATTATTAAATACTCTAATCATTAAGCTATTACCTCCACAATTAAAAAAAAAAATTAAAATATCAGGTACCTCAATCTCATAGCATTAGCATCAGCTTCAGCAGAAGAAGCAATGGAAGCCATAGCTTCTTGAACACGAGTAGAATCGAGTTGGCGATCTTCGACACGGTCAGTGAGTTTATCAAGTGCTTTGCTCTGTTGCTGTAAATCTTTCGAATCTACTACTCTATCTATTCCTCCTTCGTATCCGCCTTCCATTTTTTCAATTATTTCAATTTTGGAATCGCAGACTTCAATAGATTTAAATTTTAAGCTTTTGCTTCTTCTATTCCTTTAGCTGCTAAAACCCTAGACTGCTTCACTCCTGGGCTGTTTGTTTTTCTATTCTCCAATATGGGTTGAAACATTAAGGACTAAAGCAACCCTCATTTAACCCGACCAGATAAAGGCAGCGGAGTGGTCCCTTAGAGCCCTTATAAAAGTGGGCCTGAAAAGAGCCCAAAAGGCCACGAGTTTCGAGAGTGCCGGGAGTTGTTAAGTATTTTTTTTTTTTTTTAATTAAAAAACCCACGAGGTGCTCTGTTCATAGACTGGGATTAAGATTTTATTTGTTTAGAAAAAGAAAAAAGTTCAAATTTTATGTTCTATTTAATATTATTGTAATGTTATGTAATATGATTATTCGGTGCTAACTCTTCTTATCTTTTATATATTTGAGTTATGCAATACGTCATATGAGACTATCTTTTATTATTTTTTGGTTAGGATTTTTCTTTTCATGTATGTAGGTTTATTAAACTCAATATTGATTTAAAAGTGAATGATCAAGGTTAATATATTGTGATGAAGTCATGATCTTGAGATTAATATTAATTGTTGGATAGTTTTTAATTGTATGATTTATGTAACTAGTTGCATGTTCAATCAATAGAGAATACTTACAAAATAAATTCTTTTTTAGTATTTAAAGAATATTTCGATGATTAAATTAACATATAAAGAGAAATATTTAATTTGAATAGGCGTAATTATATTTAGCTTTTAGTAAAAGAAAATGTGTAATGGTATATCTTCTTCCTTTTTTGTTTTTTTTTTTTTTGGCTTAAAAGACAAAACGTGTAACACTTAATGTGTTAATTTTTATATAGAAAGGGATGTGATCAACATTGCATGGAGCAAAGGATAGAGAATAAAAAGGGAGAGATCTCTACAAAATCACTCTAGTCCCAAAAAAAAAAAAAAAATCCTAAAAAGACTAATGCATAGTTGTCTGGTCTTTTCTGAACTCTAGTCTATTTTTCTAAAACTACTACTACTTGGACAAAGGCATATGTTGTCATACAAGAGAAAGGATACAAAAATCAGTCTTCTCCAATGAAAAGTCCTCTACAATTTTGTAGTTAGAAAAAGTATTGTCTCTTCCTAAAAAAAATAATTGTAACACGAACAGTTGTTTCTCGTTAAAAAAAAAAATAGAAAGGTTGATCACTAAGGTCTACCGTAAACAATTTTTAAGGATGGGGACGGGTCCATGACCAAAGTGGAATGGGACCCAAAAATCACCAGGATGCTGTTTCAAAGATCAATGTTATTCTCGAGGACTGTCAACCGAGGGCAACTCCGATGGAGAGAGGATGGCTAATGGGAAGCAAGTTTTCAGCGCTTCATGAGCCCTAATCTCTTGCCACTAACCAATTATGTTCACTTTCGAAGATGTTGAGGGCGTGGCTTTTCCCTATGACTACTCTTGTTATCATCGCAATCCTCTCCAATCACAGAGTTCCGCCCTTGTCATTCGAAAGAGGTTCTAATTGAGAAGAATTTAAAGTTTCCTTCATAAACTAGCATCATAAACTCCAACTATTAGATCCTCTATAGCCACGGATTCTAACATCCGTTAAACCTTAATATTTCTTCATGAAAGCAAGAGAGATAACCTAGGTGCTTTCTCCCTCTTTTTGTGCAATAAAAAAAATAAGTTAGTAGAGGTTTTCTTGGTGGGAATGTTGGTCGAGAAATGAGCAATGAGTTTGAAGCGTAGATCCTTAAACAAGTACATAATCGAGATCTAGGTTGTGCCATTTTTTGACCATTTTTTAAAAAGTGATGGTGATGATCTTATAAATGGTCTATGTACCTCAAAGCATCGACACAAGAGTGCCTCTAACATTCTACATGTGCTCTTCTAGATCGATTACCATAGTAGATGTCTAGATTCATCTTTATAGAGATGGATTCTCTCAAAAGTTTGGCGTTAAAGATACAAGGAGCGAGTGGGGAGGCTTGAACCCCACAATTGTAGTGGTTCGGCTCTAGCTAGTGAAATAGGGCTTGGGTTCGAGGCTCACCAAGATTGTTTAAGAATGTGAGCTATCTAGTGGTGTCTTTTTTAAGAATTCCTCATACTCTGTCAATACTCTGATCTTTTCTCCTTCCTCTCTAGCCTCTGCCAAGAGACTTAACTGGCTAGTTGTTTATTGCAGTGGTAAGAGTGACTCTTTAAGGGGGTTAGGGAATTGTTGGGTTCTCCTCTTTCGCTCCCATCTTATTTTGCAATTGTGTCTTTTTCTTGAAAAAATGTTGCTTATGCGCATTTTGATGTGGAGATGGTGGAGGCTTCTATTCATGAGATGAAGCTAGTAAAGACATAAGAAGTGAGATTTTGAATCCTTTACCTCAGCCTCTTACCTATTTATATAGCCAAAGACTTCGCATGAGAGAAATAGTATGATATATATAGTTATTATTATGATTATTATTGCCAATAGCCTCTAACACCCATTTGAGAAACAAATATTATTCTTAATATTGACAAATCGAATTTCAAAAATGGTGCTGACTAAACAGAACTAACCTTGAGAGCGTGTCGCGATTTAATAAATGTACTGTCCGTCTTTTTTAATTGGTGAGATTGAGTATATAGACTAGCCATACGAGTTAGAGTTGTTCGAGACGTTCATAGAAGTAACTTAATTAGTAGGGTCCGCTTGCTCACCTATATCCCGAGTGTAATCCCGACTACTTAGACTCCATCTGGGTTAATAACTTGATTTATTGAGGATTACGTGATGACACAAATCTATCAATTTGTAACCTGGTTTAGAAGCCTAGAGAGGACGTGGATATTTACCCTAAAATTAAGTACTAAAGAAATAATGAAACTATGCATATAAAAACATCAATGGTCTTAATTTCACATGTAAGCCAGAGCGGCTCCGCCTTCTGAATATATGTTTTCCTCACGATCAGAATTTCCTAGGGTTTTATGGTTATGTACGAATTAACCAAATCTTTGCAATTCAATATTATTAACAGAAGGAGTTAAGTTGAGAAATCAACATGCAAAAAGCAAATGCATGATATATATTGAAATAGTAGCTAGGGATGGTGGTTAGAGAGAGGTACGTACTTGTCCAATAGGTTAGTAGTTGGGAGCTGAGCGGCAGCATCTTAATGAGCTTACCGGCCAATAAGTAGCATACTAAAAGAGAGTTGAATTTTTGCTCCTTTTCATTTAAACAAGAATCGCAAGTCCACAATGCGCGCGCATATACATGTATATTGATAGAAAGAAATAAAATTGACTTAATCAAACTCCATCATTAATGCTTTACTATTAGGATTGTAACACCATCGCTATAAATAAGCTTACCTTGCTCTTGATTTTCTCACAGCTAAGGAAAACATTCCCTCCTAGCCTCCTAGCTTTATAAAAAGAAAGATGGGGAAATTTTCGAGCAAGCATGTGGGCGTTTTAGCTGTTATGTTTGTGTTAGTGTTAGGGTTAGCAGAATGTAGAAAAATAGAAAAAGATGGCTTTGGAGGTGGTGCCGGAGGAGGTGGAGGCTTTGGTTCTGGTGGTGGTGTAGGTGGAGGAGCTGGAGGGGGACTTGGTGGTGGAGGTGGTGTAGGTGGAGGTGCTGGTGGGGGTTTTGGAGGAGGCAAAGGTGGAGGGATAGGAGGTGGTGGTGGTGTTGGAGGAGGAGGTGGTGCTGGTGGTGGGTTTGGAGGTGGTAAGGGTGGTGGTGGAGGCATTGGAGGTGGCAAAGGTGGAGGGATAGGTGGTGGTGGTGGTGTTGGAGGAGGAGGTGGTGCTGGTGGTGGGTTTGGAGGTGGCAAGGGTGGTGGTGGAGGCATTGGAGGTGGTGGTGGTGTTGGAGGAGGAGGTGGTGCTGGTGGTGGCTTTGGAGGTGGCAAGGGTGGTGGTGGAGGCATTGGAGGTGGAAAAGGTGGCGGTGGAGGTGCAGGAGGAGGATTTGGTGGAGGAGCTGGAGGTGGAGGTGGTGCTGGTGCTGGTGGTGGGCTTTGGAGGAGGCAAAGGTGGGGGAGGAGGTTTTGGCGGAGGAATTGGGGGCGGGCATTGATTCCGAAAGTCAGAGAGCTTGTATGTCATGATTGTGCATGGAATGTTTAGCAATCATATTATTATGTAACCAAAGAGTCGTAGTCCAGTGATGATTTCTCTTGCGAGAGATCATGGTTCAAATCCTAGCAAAAAAAATCATATTATTATGCAGTAACTAAGTAATGAAGATCATTATAACTAGAATGAATAAATAAAGCTTGTGTTCTTGCTTCGTTTCTTCCGAACACATAAAGGAAAAGAAAAAGATATATATATATATATGTATATATAAAATCAATCTTTTGCAAATGAATGAGTTGAAATATCTGCATCCATTGCACCAAATACCCTTTATGCACATGAAAATTCTTTCGGAAGTAGAACAAAGATTGCGAACAAGAAGCCAGAAATTGAAATCAAGAAAATCAAATTTGAACATATATAGGAAAGGTAGATATGCATCATTATCACATTAGCTTCTTCCATGTGACTTGGTATAACAAATTATGGACATGGCGAAATTCATGTAAGTTCAGACCTAGAGGCTGAAGTAGATATGGAAAGTCGAGAGAGTTGGGTAGATTTCCCATGATATTGACAACGTTTTATCTTTCGCTAGACTGGCAAATGCCAGCACTGGAATCAAGCAATATCGATTACAGTGGCATCTGTCTTCCTGATTTCCAACAACCTAAATTTGCCAAACTGGGAGCCATTCCTTGCCATCTATGAAATCAATGGACATGAAACTTTTAGCTTCTTCTTCAGTAAGTTGTTTCGACCAAGGGGCGCGGTTTTCAGCATCAGCTCCTGGTCCATGGCACTGGTATTCTGCTTGGTAAAGATTCCTGTCTCAATTTAAGAGGCATGCATTAATTTATTTACATCAGATAGTAGTTTACTTCTACAAATTTTGAACTCAAGAAATGATATTAAGCCTCGTATTTAAACATGATATCTTTATTAAAAAGCAAATGGAAATTTCTTACTCTGTGTTGCCAGCATAACTCCAATTAGTCCAGCCCTGAGGTGCAATTGTCTTGGAAAGATAGGCCTTTGCAAAAACCACCCTGGAATAGGCACCTTTAGGTCTTCCTAAGTACACATTACCAATGCCATAAATCTTCCCTTCGACAAAAACAAACCCACTGTCGTCTTCCGATTCCCTATTATGGGCTGTAATGGACCCAAGAATATCCACCCTCATGTCAGCAATCACAAAGATTTCACAACTCTGCAGGTCCACATTAATTTGAAACAAACAAAATTATGTCCATATTGTTTACGATTTTGATAAAAGAAGAAGAAGTTTTACTCATCAATTAGGCGCACTTACATGGAAAATGGATCTGCCACGGCCAAAGATGAAGTCAATTGAACCCTGAATGTAGCAATTATCATAGTAATGCCTGCCTTTATAATCGAATAAAGTATTGTGGGTGCTGTAGAATCCACAGTGGTAGAATGCAGCCTTGTCCGAACCAACAAATGCTGCCACAGACTGGTTTTGTGATGTAAAAGCCTCCCCAGTTGGTGCCTCATTCTGCATATCAATAGTGAAAAACCAATCGAGGGCTAATTAATACCAATTACTGAGGGAACACAAACAGCAAATTCTTATAGATTGAAAGAGCCCCAATACTTGGCGTAAACACGCCCAGGACAGGGAAAAAAAAACACATATATAGTCGATAAATTTTAAAATTTCTTTCTGCGCATCCATATGTTTATTATCAAATAACAGAAATATATATAAATATAGTTGAGATGTTTAGACACAAGCATTTTTACTTAAAATAACGCAAAATTTTAACGCAATGTACCTTGAAGCTAATACCGAAAGCAACGAAATGGGGGGCTTCGACGGTAAATGTTGCAGATGCCTTATTATTAGCAGAGCTTTGGGACCAGACAATGGCTGTCCTTCCTTTACCATTCCCCCTCATGAATATATAAGGCTTATTCTTTGGAATGTGTATCTTTTCTCTGGTAGAAATTGTTTTTTGAAACACCTTAATTAAAGATCATCACCGTATACATGTCTCAATCCGTATTTATTTTCCACTAATTAAAGAACAAAGAGGGGCTATTAATAATTTACCTGTAAACTCCTTTCCTGATATGGATTATAATCCATTGAGAATTGTTTTTAGGAACAGCATTTATGGCCTCTTGGACCGACGTAAATTCTCCATCGCCATTGATATCGACCTTGATTGTCCGATTGGTGCCAATTTTTTGTGTCAGCATAGGAGAGTCTATAACTGTTTCTGCATACAAGCCATCAACATGGCCTGAAAAAGACACGGTAACGGCTAAAATGGCAGCAAAGGCAACAATATGGGTTGGTTTAAGGGAAATAAAAGGAGGTAAAGAAGATATAGCCATGGTGTTTGAGGAAAGAGTTGTTTGTTCAATTCTAGGTTTAAGGGTGATGAAAAGAATTGAAGGTTATAAAAAGACCGTGGGAGAGGAGATGTTCTTTTTAGAAGGTGAATCTGTTTTGGAAGTTAGAATTGGATATTATTAATATGTGTTAGCGCGGGAAAGTTTGTTAGGAAACTGTCTCTAATTTTGGAAGGCTCTAACTGAAACGTGAACTTCTGTGGTTTATATGCTTTCTGTGCTGTTTTTTTTTTTTTTTTTTTTTCAGACCATATTCATCAAATTAATGTAACATTCTTAAACCAAAACATCAGCTGCATCAATCGATTAGAATTGTTTCTGTCATGCTTTTAAAGCTAAATTGGATGATAATGCAGTTGGCCTTTGCTTTAAGCGCAGGGGATATATATGCCTATTTCCATTTATAGATATTGTTAACAAAAAAAAAAAAAAAACTCATTGCTATAGATAGTGTTTTTCTTTTTTCTAATTGTATTTTGCTATTTATAGTGTAAAAATACCAACCAATAAAATAATCTGTTGTAACTGAGGAATATTAATTTTTTTAAATTACATTGCCTTTTTATATAACTACTGCTAATCTTGCAATATCAACTTAATTGCACTAACTATATTTATAAAGAACTTGAAAAAAAAAACTTTATTTATTACCTCTTTTATTAAAAACAATAGATAAAAAATGATAAAATTAGCCAAATCCATACCTACCTTTACCAATATTTTTTAAAAATAATTATTAAGATAAAATAGACATCATACCCTTATACTATTCAGTATTATTTATTTTAATTTTTCTATCCAAATATAACATAAAACAATTACTTTACTATTTAAAGTTGAAACAAACCACTATTTTCATTTAATATCTGATCAAATTCTATAATAATACGTGATTTAAAAAAATGAATAAAACATTGATTTATCATACCTTTAAATGCAACATAATTTTTTTATACTATATCTAAATAGAAATATTAAAATAAATAATATTTAGTACAAAATATTAAACGTATTTCACTCATTTTTATTAATCATACTAATGCTCAAAGAAAGATTTGCAATTTGTTTATGTGACTTTTTGTCTTTTCCTTCAAAATGGTGTGCAAGTAGAGTAAATGAGTGCGCCAATAGCTCACATATAAAACTTGTATAATAATGATATCCGGTTCTCCTCGTAGTTTAGATTCCGCAGAATCCGCACCTGGTCCTACAGGAACCATTCGTTGATGATAGCAGCGATGGTGCATGCCAATGTTATGCATGCTTCGTCGTAAGTTAGACAACCATGCAAACCATGGGATAGGATGTCGGTTGGCGCAAAACCCACATTCGTTTGTTGCCAATCATTGTCGTTCAAGTTAATTCAATTCATGGTTTTCATTCTAGCACATAATTATTGGCCTACGTATCATTTTTTTTTTTTTAAACTCAAACACTTAAGACTTTTAACTGAATTAATCTATTAAAATTTAAATATCATAATCTCTTATTATAAAAAATCACTACTATTAAATTATAAATTCTTTAAAATGTATTATGTTAAATTATATACATTATTATATAACTAAAACACACGAGGTGTTTGAACAGTGAAATTTACTGATTATCTATTTATAAATCACTATTCACCTTTTTTTTTTTTTTTGGCACTTGATTCGTCTGTTTCTTTGACACTTGCCATGAGAGAAGTAAAGACCATTGCTGATAAGGCACGAACGAATTTCCCTCTCAATGGTCTTTTTCTGTTCCTTTTCGTTTCCTTTGTCCATAATAATCCAAACAAAAGATCCATGACAAGTTCTGTTATATTTTATGTTGAAGGACCAAAACTAAAATGCATGCTGGGTTTGAAAAATGGCAATACTGTACACCCCTCATAATGTACATGGCTTTTCTTTTTTCATCAAGCTATGTTCTTTTTTCTTAAAAAAAAATTAGAAGTTAACCTCATAATGTACTATTCACTCTTATTTTTATTTTTTTATATAATTTTTAAATGATTTTGTTTTGGTCCCTAAAATTTTCAAATAAAAAATTTTAATTACTAGCTCATGCACCACATGCCTTTTCTCTTTTTTTTTCTTTTCTTTTTTTTCCTTTGCTTTTTTCATCAATGTATATTCTTTTTTTTATTTGAATGTGTTAAAATTTTAAAAAATCAATCGTTACTTTTTCACACAAACTGATGATTGTATAATATATACGATATGTTTTTATATTTTAAAATAAATATATACTATTTTTATTGTTTAAAATTGATCTTTTTTATTTATTATAAAAATTCTCATGAAGTTAATTTTTTTCTTATTTTTTATATAATGTTATTTATTAATAAATATGATTTATTTTCTTTATGTATGGATTCAAATAAGTTTTTTTAATACCAGATTTTATTTGCTTAATTCTTATATGATCAAATTTTAAAAATAGAATATATGTATTTTATTTTCTTATTCTTTATATAATCAAATTTTATCAAAATATAGTTTTTATTACACTCTATTGACTTCAATACATATTTTATAATTTAATTTTTTAAAATATTTTTCTATTTATGCTATACATTTTTATCCATTGACTACAATCATAATGTATACAAAATAATAATATTAGAGTGATTGATTTTATTAGAAAGCAACTATATATATACACACACAACACCA